AAACAATCTCTAAATATTTTTTAATAGTGCTGCAGTGTTGTGTTTATCTTGAGTCTTAAATCTCTGCCATTGAGTCTTTTTAATCCTGCAGATTCTCCTTTCAGAGCTCCAAATTCTCTTACCCTCTCTCTTTGCCTTAGATCACACCTGATTCCAGCGTTGCCATCCCAGAGCTCCCTGATCCTGGCTCAGGAGACCACGTGAAGCTGCACAGAGCCTCCAGCCTGCTGCACAATGGCACAGTGCACGTGGGGAGTGAGAGCAGGCTGAGCCCCTTCACGCTGAGCCTGCCCACCTGCCGCATCAGCTGCTCCGTGCAGCAGCTCGTGGAGCTGGCTTACCACACCCTGCTGGAGGCCACAACCAGCACAGACCTCTGGTAGGGCTTGTTGGCCATTCCTCTGTTAGCATTATTTATCAAAACTGTATTTATTTATTTAGTAGCTTGTGTGTCAGCCTCTAGCAACACCAAGCATCTGGTAGTAGATTTAAAGAACTTGAAAAATTAGACTCGGTCATTGCTCTTGTTTTGGCTGGAGGATGTATGCCTGGGTTTGGGCAGGAGACTGACACTGCTGCAGGCTGTTCCTTCAGGTTTTTAGGAAAATCAAACCTGTCTTCTTTTTCCCAAAACCAAGTGCTGGCCTCAGTGTGAACAGAGTTCTTTGTGCTGGGGAAAACAAAGAACTCCAGCCTGCAGCTGGCAGGGCTCTTGGGGAAAAACAAACAGGATCCACGTAAACTTAACTTTAACCACAGCCCTGAAGCAGGAGAGTTGCCCAGGTAACAGCTGCCCTCGAGGGGCAGAGAGGGGGCTGAGTGTTCCTGCACACCTGGAGGGGCAGGGACAGTGTCCCCTTTGTTCTGGGCTGTCATGGATCTCCCTTCCACACTGACCCTCAAGGTCACCACAGCCTTTGAGAGTTTTCCAGAGTGTTGACAGTGCTGTCATTGATCCTGACAATCCCCTCTTTGTGCCAGTGCTTCACTGCTCATAAAACCTTGTTGAGGGGCAGGCTGAGGGTCAGCTGTGAGCAGGGTATGAGTGCCAGGCTGACATGAGCCCTGTTTGGGCAGGCTGAGGGGCAGCTGTGAGCAGGGCATGGGTGCCAGGCTGACATGAGCTCTCTTGCCCTTGTAGCTGTGTGCAGCTCTTTGACTGCGTCAGGAACATCTTCCAGCTCTTCTATGAGGTAGTGCCCACATACCACAGGTGAGTGTGTCCACATTTCCTGTTCTGAGGGGGAATACTGCTGTTGGAACAGTCCCACTTGTCCACTACAGCTCCATCAGCAAAAATCAACTGCCCAATCTCTAATTAAACCATACCTGTGCAAAGCAGGTGCTTGAGAGCTTCTGTGTCGTCAGTCTATGATCAAGGGTGTGGGTGAAGTTCTCACACAGCTGTATTTGTTTCCAGCCATGTAACTTTGACCTCAGATCTGATGCACAGATTTTTCAGGATGTTTCTCCTGTGAAGAAGCAGCAATGAGGATGGAAAGTTCACAATCCTGTCAGAGGCCTTCCCTCTCTTTTCCTCACTGCGACTTTGCTCTAACAAAGTATATTCCTGTTTGAATGGCTGGAAACAGAGTGGGATAACACAGGGTTCAAATGCCTTGGTGCCATTTCAGACCCTTTTCCTGCCAGTTCCTGTGGGTTTGTGAGACGTTACATGTTTTTACTCTGATGTCAGTCAGGCCTTGCCAGCACCACCTGCTGACAGACCGTGCGTTTCTCTAGGATAGACGCGAGCATTTTTTTACCAGAACCAGCTCTAAATAAACCCATTTCTCCTTTTCCCTCCTTGCTGGGCCAGGGAGAACCTGCAGAAGCTGCCCCAGCTGGCTGCCATCCACCACAACAACTGCATGTACATCGCCCACCACCTGCTGACGCTGGGCCACCAGTTCCGCTACCGCAGCACCAGCGTGCTCAGCAACGGCGCTGCCACCTTCGTGGACCTGGTGCCTGGCTTCAGGAGGCTGGGTAACTCCCCTCCCCCCTTCCCCTCTCCAGATGTGTTTGTGGATCACCTGGGAGTTCACCCTGGCGCTTGCTGAGTGGTTTCTCAGAGGTGTGGCTGCTCGCTCAGTGTGTGCAGTGGATTGGTGGTGTTTGGACAAGTGGCAGAAACATTTTCTGAGTTAGGAAGTTTTGGCTCTTTGAAACCTTTATTTCTTGTGAACTTAGTCCCAAGAAGAGCTCAGTATCCAGCAAGATGTGTTCTGGGATCTGCTGCTCAGTCCTTTGATATTTTCATTAGTTATTCCACAGAAATAAATTCAGAGATAGGTTTGTGTGGGCTAACAGGAGTCATCCACAATTCGTTCTGCTGCTCTGCTTTTTTCCAGCAGTGTTGTAGCAATGCAAGCTGCACAAGAGCTCACTGGTTAAACTGGCCCTGAGAGACTGTTTGGAGACTGGAAATTTGATTAAAAATAAAACATAATAGCAAGTTCATTATTCAGCACTTGCAGTCATAAATAGGCAGAGCAAATTTAGTAATTGTTTAATTGCTTCTCTCTGCTTGTTTTGCTCCTAAAGGGATGGAGTGTTTTCTGGCCCAGATGCGAGTGCAGAAAGGAGAAATCCTGGAGAGGCTCTCGAGTGCCAGGAATTTTTCCAACATGGATGATGAGGAGAATTACTGTGCAGCAAATAAAGCCATAAAGCAGGTGAGGAAGGCAGAGAAAGAGCATCCAGTGCCTGCAGGTATCCTGGGGAAGTGCAGTGTGGAATCTCAGCCCTGACAGCTATGCAACTGCTAAAACTATTTTCTGACGTGATGGTTTGGGTTTTTTGTCCTGGGCTGTGTCCTTAGCAGGATTGCTCCATTGTTTCTCCCCATTTGTACTCTCCTGGTGCCTTTCCCAGGCTTCTGTCTGGTGTCACACTCTGCTGTTCCTTGCAGGTGCTGCACCAGCTGAGGAGGCTGGGCATGGTGTGGCAGGATGTGCTCCCTGTGAACGTGTACTGCAAGGCCATGGGGGCCTTACTGAACACAGCCCTGGCAGAGATTGTCACCAGGATTGCTGCCCTGGAGGTAACAGCCGTGGGGGGTGTTGGGGACAGCGTTTGTCACCTCCAGAAACTCTCCCCAAAATCACATTTCAGGGGAGCAGTTCATCCACACAGAAATTCTAATCATGTGTCCACAGGAAATGTTCACAATCCCAATATTTCATTTCACTTGGCACTGCAGAAATAAACCTCACTTGAGCTCTGTTCATGTTCTCCCCATTCCAGGATATCTCTGCAGAGGATGCAGACAGGCTGTACTCACTCTGCAGGATCATGGTGGAGGAGGGACCCCAAGTTTTCACCCCTCTGCTTGAAGAAGACAAAAACAAGAAGTACCAAGAGGAAGTTCCAGTCTATGTGCAGAAGTGGATGACATTCAAGGAGCTGATGATCATCCTGCAGGCCAACCTCCAAGAAATCGTGGATCAGTAGGTGTTTTCCTTTCCAGCTGCTTCTCCAGGCCTGTGCCAGGGAGCTGCAGTTCACAGGAAGAGCAGGAACTTTTCCTTTCCTTTTCCAGAGGAAAGGGTCAGGATCAGCTGCTGGCACAGGTCCTTGGAGGCTTGTTGGAGGTGCCATTTCGGGCAGGTTGGTGACATAAAGCTCTCCCTGTCTCCCATCCAGGTGGGCAGATGGCAAGGGGCCTCTGGCAGAGGAGTTTTCAGCAGCTGAGGTGAAGAGTCTGATCCGAGCCCTGTTCCAGAACACAGAGAGGAGAGCAGCAGCACTGGCCAAGATCAAGTGACTCCAGTTTACACCTGCATCTTGTGACACAGCAAGAGCAAACTGACACTTCCAAATACTTTTTTGATTTCACTTTTCTTATTTCTACTGCTCTGGGAAATGTTGGGATTGGGTAAGTGCTTCCTGGAGCTCGCCTGGGGGAAGGAGCATTTCCTGGCTCAGTGTTCCTGTAACCTCATCTCAGGCTGGGCCTTTCCAGTGCTCAGCTGGGACTCTTCTATGCACTTCTACATCTGGACCTGCAGCCCCTCTGTGACCTCTTCTGTCCCCCAAAGCACACATGGAACCCACAGACTTGGAGAGCTCTTGATATCCCTCCAGGAAGTGCCAAAGTTTCCCACCTCAGCTTCCCCTGAGGAGCAGACCTCAAGGGAGAGACACTTCAGAGGGGCACGTGGGGAAAGAGATCCTGTGCTGAATGAACCATTGATCACAGGATTTCTCACAAGTAGGAAAATTCTATTCTCTTGGAAAATATCCTCAAACTGATTTAGAGCTTTTCAGTGTCACTTTCCCAAGTGCAGAAGCCAGTTCACCTCCCTTTTCTGTTTGTGTTGGGTGTGCACTTCATAACTCTGTCTTTCTGTGTTGTATTTTCTGTCCTTCAAGAGTGATCAGAGAAATGTAAACCAATATACAAAGGGAATGAAAGGTGCTCTCACAGCATGAAGTCACAAAAGGCCGTGTTTGATGCTTGGATTATTGTACATTTCTTTTAATTGAAAAACTCCCTGAGAGCATTCACTGAGCTCAGCCCAGAGACCAAGGTGCTGCACACCTGGAGCAAAGTCCTGCCTGCCCTGTAGTGCTTAGAAGAGTTTCAGTCCCAGTTTAATGTTTTAATCTGTTGTCTCCTGTTGTCTCCTCGTCATTGGCACTTCTGTCCCACTCCTGTTCCCATTTCCAGGCATTTGTGCAGGGGCTGAGGCTTTCCTGTCACCCCAGAACATTTGTGTTTTTATGTTTCCCCCCTCCAAGTGTTCCCAGAACACCTCATGGGATCCCCTGTCCCTTCACACACAGTAATCCAAAATGGTCTATTTTGAAAAACACTTCTCCCCTGTTGATTGTTCACAGAATTGGAATTTGCTATTTTCTTTAATAAACTATTTATACTGAGCACGTTTGGGAGTCTGTGTGGGTACAGTGAGGCAGGAGGAGCCAGTCCTGGGCTGTCCTTCACTTGTGGGAGGGCAGAGTGTTGCTATGTGCAGTCTGTCCTTTCCTGATTCCTAGTGGATCTAAGAAGATCAGTAAAACAGGAAACAAAAAAAGCAATCAGTACCATAAGAAAGGTTGTCCTAAAGGCTTGTGCATGCAGGGAAGGAGTTCAACAGGATCCTGGGATTTGTCTGAGGAACCAGCAAGGCTGGGCACAGAGCTGGGCTCACCTGGGTGACCTGGTGGATCCAGGGCAGCAGCTGAGCCACGTTGGTGTAGACCCCGGGGTGGTTGGGCTCAGCACAGCCCTGGCCCCAGCTCACAACCCCCACCAGGCGCCACGTGGACCCATCCCAGCACACCAGCGGGCCCCCACTGTCCCCCTGGGGGCAGAGTGACAGAACACCCCAGTCACAGCCTGCTTTGGGTCCCTGGGGCTCACCCAGTGCCACCCCTGCCCGGTGCCACCACCCCAGGCTGCTCCAGGCCCCGTCCAGCCCAGCCTCGAGCTGCTCAGGGAGCACCCAAACCTCAGGGCAGGCTCTGTCTCACCAGGAGTGTCCCCAGGGCGGCTGCAGACACCCCTGGCTGTCCCTGTTCCTCTCCAGGGCTGTCCCCAGGGTGGCTGCAGACACCCCCAGCTGTCCCTGTTCCTCTCCAGGGCTGTCCCCAGGGTGGTGCAGGTACCCAGGGGTGTCCCTGTGCCTCTCCAGGGGTGTTCCCAGGGTGGTGCAGGTACCCAGGGGTGTCCCTGTTCCTCTCCAAGGCTGTCCCCAGGGTGGTGCAGGTACCCGGGGGTGTCCCTGTTCCTCCCCAGGGCTGTCCCCAGGGTGATGCAGGTACCCAGGGGTGTCCCTGTGCCTCTCCAGGGCTGTCCCCCGGGTGGTGCAGGTACCCAGGGGTGTCCCTGTTCCTCCCCAGGGCTGTCCCCAGGGTGGTGCAGGCACCCCCAGCTGTCCCAGCCCTACCTGGCAGGCGTCCACGTGTCCCCGCAGGTGTCCTGCACACAGCATCCTGGCCGTGAGCTCACCCTTGTACACGCAGGAGCTGTTGCACCTCCGGGTGCCAATCAGGGGCACCAGCGCCTCTTTCAGCGTCCCGGCCACCTGTGCTGGGGACAGGGACACAGAGGAGCCAGGAGGGAAACCAGAGGGAGCAGAAAGGATGGCAGGGGAAGGTGGCAGTGCCCCCAGGAGCAGGGCTGGGATGAGGGCAGGGAGAGTGGCACGGGAGGGGCTGGCAGGGCAGGGAAGGGGCACAGCTCACCTTGGCCAGGTGCGGTGTGGCCCCAGCCCGACACCCAGCACTGCGTGCCCTGCAGCAGGTCCCGCGGGGCGGGCGGCAGGCACACGGCTCGGACGGCACCTGCGGCGACAGCGACAGCTCACAGGGGACAGCAGGGACGGGCTGCAGAGCCCTCAGCCTGGCTCGGGGACGGGAAAGGCTCCTGGCGCAGGGGCTGTGACACTGCAGAGCCACAGCCACCCCCGGGACTGCCAGCTCGGGGCATGCTGTGCTGCCCGTGCCAGCCGGGCCGTCCCGCAGCAGGGTCAGGGACCTGGAGCCCCCCGGGACAGTGGGCGGTGTCCGTGCCACCCTGGGTGGAACTGGATGAGCCTTCAGGCCCCTTCCAACCCAAACCGCCCTGCGATTCTTCTGCCAGCAGGCTCAGAAGAGGCTGGGGTTGGGCAAATTGATACTGGGGGGTAGGACAGAAAACAACGGGGAAGAACAGGACAGGACTGGGACGGGATCGGGACAGCAGTGGGACAGCACTAGGACAGGATCGGGATGGAACCGGGACAGCACCAGGACGGGATCGGGACAGCAGTGGGACAGCCCTGGTACAGAACCGGGACAACACCGGGACAGCCCCTTCCTTACGTGAGAAGTTGAGCGGCACCTGGAGCCTGATCAGGGCCATGTCGTAGTCCAGGCTGCTGTCGTTGTAGAGCGGGTGGGGGATGATGGCCCGGACTGGCACGCCCGCCTCCGGCCGCAGCGAGCCGTGCGTGACAATTCCCGCAAACACCAGCCAGGCTGGGGCTGGCAGCTGCCTGCAACCGCGGCACCGGCAGTGCGGGCTACCGGCACCGGGCTGCGGGCTAGCAGCGGGCACGGGAGCCGGGATGGGCACGGGGAGCCGGGGATGGGCACGGGGAGCTCGAGATTGGCACACAGAGACCTCGGGATGGGGACAGAGAGCCGGGGATGGGCACACAGGGAACCCGGTGATGGGGACAGAGAGCCTGGGGATGGGCACAGGGAGCCGGGATGGGCACACAATAAGCCCGGGATGGGCACACAGGGAGCTCGGGATTGACACACAGAGACCTCGGGATGGGCACAGGGAGCCGGGATGGGCACACAGGGAACCCGGTGATGGGGACAGAGAGCCTGGGGATGGGCACAGGGAGCCGGGATGGGCACACAATAAGCCCGGGATGGGCACACAGGGAGCTCGGGATGGGGACAGAGAGCCAGGGATGGGCACACAGGGAAACCAGTGATGGGTATGGGGAGCCCGGGATGGGGACAAGAAACCCGGGGATGGGGACAGGGAGCCTGGATGGGCACACAAGGAGCTGGGGATGGGGACAGGGAGCCCGGGATAGGCACAGGGAGCCTGAATGGGCACATAGAGACCCGGGGATGGGCACAGGGAGCCCGGGATAGACACAGGGAGCCTGGATGGGCACACAGGGAGCCTGGGATGGGCACAGGGAGCTCAGGATGGGCACAGGGAGCCGGGGTACCTGTGCACGCAGTGAGCTGCCGTCAGGATCCACTCGGGGGCCAGCACGGAGCCCCCACAGCGGTGCTGGGAGCCCTGGCACACACTGACCTGCCAGGGCCAGCGCCCGGGGGACACGTCTGTGCCCCCCACCACCCTGACAGCCCCTGCCTGCAGCCCACACTCTGCAAGGAACGGGGGAGGCTCCAGCTCAGCCCTTCCTGCTGGGGGGAGCAGGGGCACTGGGGGAAGGAGCTGCTGCCTCCAGGCAGAGACCCTGGGGCTCAGGCGGGGAGGAAATCGCTCACCTGAGCACTGCAGAGCCACGATGCGCCCCGACCGGCAGCTGCTCCTGTGTGGGCAGGCTCTGGTCAGGATAAACACCGGCCAAAGCCCTGGGGAGCCCCAGGGCAGCTGCAGCAGCTCCCCAAGGGGTGTTTGCTGCACAGCACCAGCACATCTCCGGGGTTCAGCCTGAGGAAAGGCTCCAGCAAGCCCTGCTTGTCCCAGAGCCGCCCTTACCTGACCTGCCACATGTCCTCCAGGCTGCCTTCCTGCCGGGCTCTCACCTGCAGGAACTGCTGCCCAGCACTCACCTGGACATCCCTCAGGTTCACTCCTTTCTGCTGGGTCATGCTGCAGAGTGACAGAAACGTCCCGGGAAGGGGTCAGGGTTGTGCCCCTGCCACAGTCCCACAGCTGTGGCAGCTGGGAATGACCTGCTGGGCTGGAAGGAGCTTCTGGAGCTGCTCCTGCAGGTCCCAGGCCCGGTTTCCCCAGGGAATGCTGTGGCCTGGCTCTGCCCTGCCAAAGCCCAGCTGGTTTTGCCAAGGCCATCCCCCTGGAAAGGGGCAGCAGGAGCAGCCTGTGCCGTGCCCACCTGAGGTAGCCGAGCTGCTGGCAGAGCAGGGTGCCCAGGGAGGGGTCCCAGTGCCCGTGGCACACCAGGAGCCAGCCAGGGTGTGCCTCCACCTGTGCTTCCAGCAAGGAATTGGCTGTGCTGATCCTGAAAGACACTGAAGGCATTCCATTGCAGACAACCTGTGAGCTCTCTCCCCCTGTGCAGGGTCATGCACAGCCAAAAACCCACCCTAAACCCCAGGAAAAAAACCACCTGAGGAGTTGGAAACCCTAAATGAGCCCAGCCAGAGGGGTCCCAGGCAAAGGAGTCATGGAAGAGCTCCCTTTGCTGTGGGATCCCTGTGTGCAGTGAAGCTGCAGTGCTGGGGGTTCAGAGAAAAGCAAAGCTGCAAAATGCAGCAGGAACTGATTTTTAAAGAGTCTCTTTTGTGCCCTTGCCAGGTCGGGCTCCCCTCTCCCCACATGGGACACCAATCCAAGGTGCAAACCTGTGCTGGGAGCCCCCCGGACCACGGGCTCCTCCTCCTCCTCATCATCACATGCTGGGGTCACCTCCAGATCCTGCTCCTGGGGGGAGCCCTGCTCGGGCTGGGGCTCCTTCAGGTGCTTCACTTCAGGATACAGAGCAGGTGAGAGGTGAGGGTGGGCTCCCACAGCCTGGCAGCACCCAGAGATGCCCAGAGCTGGGCACAGCCCTGCCCGCTGCCACAGGTGCAGAGCCTCTCCAGGAGCACAGCCACCCCAGGCAGGGCTGACCAGGGGGCTGCCACCCCCACCGCACTGCTGGCAGCCCCAGCTGGCTCTCAGAGGGCAGCAGGGCTGTGCTGGGGCACTGACCGAGCTGCCACGTCCCAGCTGCCATCGCTGCCAGCAGCCCCGCCAGCCCCAGCAGCAGCAGCAGCCTCCTGGCGCTGCACAGAGCCCCCAGGGACACCTCGGCAGGGTCTGCAAGGGAGGGACAGGGGGTCAGCGGGGCTGCAGGGCCTCCCCCAGCTCTGCCAAGGCCCTGCACTGATTTCCAGGGCTCAGCTGCTCCCTTCTTGCAGGAGGGGCTGAAATGAGCCTGGGTTCTGCCAGAGCCTGGGACCCAGAGCCTGGGACCCAGCAGCCAGAGCCCAGAATCCAGAGCCAGAGCCCAGCACCCAGAGCCAGAGCCGAGAGCCCAGAGTCAGAGCCCAGAATCCAGAATCCAGAGCCCACACCCAGAGCCCAGTACCCAGAGCACAGAGCCCAGCACACAGAGCCCAGCATCCAGAGCCTGGGACCCAGAGCCAGAGCCCTGAGCCCCAAACCCAGCACCCAGATCCCAGAGCCCTAGCACCCAGTGCCCAGAGCCAGATACCCAGCACCCAGAGCCCCATGACCAGCACCCAGAGGCAGAGCCCCAAGACCAGCACCCAGAGACCAGCACCCAGAGCCCAGCACCCAGATCTCAGGACCCAGAGCCCCAAGACCATCACCCAGAGCCCCCCGTTCCCAAAGGCCAGCAGCAGCTCACCCACCGTGCCCCGGGCAGGGCTGTGTCCCCCTCCTGGGCTCGGCCATGCCGGCACCCTCAGGCTGAGCTCTGGGGCAGAGCAGAGCCGGGAAGAGCCGGAGCAGAGCCGGAGCAGCCCGGCAGGGCCGGCACCCTCAGGCTGAGCTCTGGGGCAGAGCAGAGCCGGGAAGACCCGGGCAGGGCCGGCACCCTCAGGCTGAGCTCTGGGGCAGAGCAGAGCCGGGAAGAGCCGGAGCAGAGCCCGAGCAGCCCGGCAGGGCCGAGCTGTGGGCTCAGCACGGCAGGAGCAGCAGCCAGCTCAGGTTGCTGTGCATGCGCCGCAGGCTCGGCCTGTCCCCAGACCCCCTCCTCCTGCTGCCGGGGCCCTGCAGCCCCAGGTGTCCCCAGGTGTCCCCAGGGGATGCTCCTGTCCCCCGCTGGGCCCAGAGCAGCAGCTATGGGGCTGCTCAGCGCCCGGAGCCATCTCCCACCTGCTGCCCCCTTCCCCTCCCGTTCCTGCCACATGAGAAACCCCAGGGGCAGCTGAGGGGCTGCAGCTCCAGCCAGCTCCGAGTCCTTTGGGGGTCAAAACTTCCTAAAGAGGGAAAAAAAACAGGGAAAAAAAACCTCCAGGTGCTTTGTAGCACCCCCACACCTGCAGCCAGGTGCAGGTGAAGGAAGGTGAGGGCTGCTGGCTGCCCTCCCCACCCTGAGTGCCCCTGGATCAGCTCACCTCCCCAGGAGCTGGGTTTGCCTGCCTGGAGCCCACAGGGAGCAGCAGGGCCAGGCAGCGGCTCCCAGCTGGCTCCTGACTCTCCAGGTAATTTCTTGCTGCTGAAAAAGGAGTTCCCAGCCCGTGGCTGGGCCGTGCTGGGACAGGGGATGATTTTCTGTTCTGGAGGAACAGAAATCCCTCGGGCTGCCCCAGCCCCCCAAACCAAGAGCAGCTGAGCAGACTGGAAGAGCTGTCCCATGGAATAAAGGCTTTCCCCCCCTATTTCTCCATCCCTGACAGCCACAGCTGCCGGCTCGGTGCTCCAGTGAAGCACCAATGAATTTTTAATGCTATTTAACCAAAGGAACTCCCATGAATGTTTCATGACCTGTCCTGCAGGTTCAGGGCGGGATTTGTTCTCCCTCTGAGCAGCACCAGGTGTCTTGTGGCACAAACCCACCCTGTGCTGGGCAGCTGCTGGGAAAACGGGGGGGTTTGGGCTTGGTTTGGATTGTTTTTCTCCAAGCTCCCTGTCTCATTTAGAGTTCAGGCCAGAAAAGCTGCAAATATCCCCCAGATCACTGGCTCAGCTCTGACCCCTTCCTGTGCCTCTGGAGCATCCTGGCAGGACTGTAGATGGTGCTGGAGCACCGGTGGGAAAGGAGGGAAGAGCCCAGGCACAGAATCCAGCCCGAGCATCCTTTGACAGCTTTTCTGGGCACACAGGGACTCACCAGGGCTGCTCCTCCAGCCCGGGGCTGCTGCTGGACCAGTTCAGGGCATCTCCCCTCCCAGAACCTGCCAGAAACTCAACCTTTTCAGAGTGAAACGAAGATGAAAAGCTAACCAGAGGTGTGAGCACAGCCAGCAGGGCACAAACACCTTCCCCGGCAGCAAAACCCGGCAGGCAAGGGCTGGTCCTGGCAGGGGAGGGGAGGAACCAGGGCAGGATCCAAAAGGATTCACCAGGAACGGGTTAAAAAGCCAGGACACCTCCCCCAGGCTGCGCTGCCTCTGCTCTGAGTCACGATCCTCCCTCCTTCCAGGCTCATCCCAGCACATCAGTAATTCCATCACCCTGCAGGGAGGGCAGGGACTGAGGGGGCTCCAAACCCTTCCTGGGGCAGGGCAGCAGCAGCACAGCTCCTTCCTCCATTCCCATCACCTTCCCTGGCTCTGGAGGGCAGAGAAGCAAAGGGGAGCGGCAGCAGCAGTGCCAGAGCCTGGCAGTGGGTACCCACACATGGCAGAGGTGCTGTGGGGCAGCAAACATTCCCTCTGCCACTTTTCTGATTTATTCCCATGGGAACAACCTTCCCTGTCCCCCGGGAGCAGAGCAGAGCCCAGCTGTGCAGCGCCCAGCCAGATGTGGGCTCTGCTGGAAGCCAGAGCTGGCGAGGTCAGGGCAGCATGGGGAGGGCACGGCCGAGGCTGGGCAGGTTCTGGGCAGCAGCAAACAAACAAACAAACAAACTGTGTGCAATTCTTCTGCTGGAATCAGCAGGAAAGAGTCAGTAATTTGCTCATAAAACTCTGCATTCCACGCCTGCCCTGGTGCTGCTCCCAATTTGGAGATCTCAGAGCAGCTTTAGCAGCCTTGCTGAGCTGTGTTTGATTTAATTGTGGTTTGGGCTGTGCTGATTCCTCCATCCCTCTCCAAGGAAAAGCTGAGCCCTTCCTGGGGTTTGGGCTGTGCTGATGGCTCCATCCTTTCCCCAAGAAAAGCTGAGCCCCTCCTGGGGTTTGGGCTGTGCTGATGGCTCCATCCCTTCCCCAGGAAAAGCTGAGCCCTTCCTGGGGGTGTTTTACCAGAGCAAGGCCAGGACAAGGGGGATGGCTTCAGACAGGCAAAGCAGGGTTAGGTGGGATTTTGGGAAAACATTCCTCACTCTAGGGTGAGGTTTTCTTCTGGAAAACAACAAGTGAGCTCCTCTCCTGTGCTCTGAGGGACACCTGGAGTTTAAGTTCTAAGTGTGAGGGGTGAAGTTAAAGGTGACTGGAGCCTGAAAAATTCCTGTGCTCACCCCAGGGGAAGCTGTGGCATTAAAGGGAGCTTGGCAGAGCAGGGTTAGGTGGGATTTTGGGAAAACATTCCTCACTCTAGGGTGAGGTTTTCTTCTGGAAAACAACAAGTGAGCTCCTCTCCTGTGCTCTGAGGGACACCTGGAGTTTAAGTTCTAAGTGTGAGGGGTGAAGTTAAAGGTGACTGGAGCCTGAAAAATCCCTGTGCTCACCCCAGGGGAAGCTGTGGCATTAAAGGGAGCTCTGGGGACAGTGGGTGACAAGAGGCACAGGCAGCTCATCCCCTCCCCAGGCCTCTTGCCCTCTCCTGGACCATTTCCTTCCTCAGCTCGTCTCCTCCCTCCCCTTTGGCTCCTCTCTCATCCAAGTCCCTCTCTGAGTTGCTGGGAACCTACAATGAGAGAAATGGCCCAAAGCAGCACCTACACCTGCCTGAGCCTGGCAGGACTCATGATGGAGAAAAAATCCTGGAGTGCGTTTTCCCAGCTCAAAATAAAGAAAATAAAATTAAAAAGAAAAAAAAAAAAGATAAAGAGGAATTAATAATAAGCTCTGAAACAGCCTTCCATGCCTCCCCACCTGAGGCTGATGTGAAGGAAGGGAGTTTAAACCCCTGGACAGAGCCAGGAGCATCCTTGGTGTGGGCTGTGAGTCCCAGGACAGGCACAGCTCCCAGCACAGCCCCTGCTGGATTTTCCTGCTCCCTCTCCCACTGCAGAGCAGCCCCCAGCCCCTGCCCTGCTCCAGCCTCTCTCCCGAGGCAATTTGCCGGGTAATGATCATGGAGCTGAGAAGGCAATTTCAGGAAAACTGGTTTCTGCCTGGAAGGAACTGACTGCAGGCACTGCTATAACCGGGTACAATAATCTGTTTAAAAAGCAGTTGGCACGGTGTGAAGCACAGACAATTTCCAGGCAATTCCCCGCAGGGATGGTGCCAACCTCCCCAGAGGCAGGGAATGGGCACGCTGCTGCTCTCCTGACCCCTGTGACACCGTGACTGTGATGGGGACACCTCAGTGCTCGCCCTGAGCAGGGCACTGTCACCTCCCACCTGGCACAGGTGAGGGCAGGGATCTGATGTCCCTCTGTTCGTGTTTCTGCAGAGCATGGACAGCCAGGAGAGGCTGGGCCCTGGATTCTCATCCATCAGCCAATAAATAGAGAATTTAAGGATGTCAGGGATGAAATGTTTTCATTCTCTGTACCGTGTTCCAGCACAAAGATATCCCGAGGGATTTATTCTCGGAGATGAGTCAAAGAAGAAGAATAATTGTTAGAGAGAAATTAATTTATGCTCTTTTTCCTCCCATTTCCAAACAGTTTATTTGTCACTTGTCAGCTGAACCTTTGCCCTTGCAAGCTGCTGAGGACCCAAATCCCAGGAACGGAAGAGGAAAAGCTTTGTCAGGAGGCTGGATGGCATTTCTGCCTTGTCGTACCTCACTGCCTGCATTGAAACCAGAGCTTTTAACCGCGGGGGGGTCACCCCGGGGTGGCACTCGCCACCCTGGGAGGGAGCAGAGCCAGCCCAGACAGGTCCCCGGGCTGTGACACTCGGGGCCACTCGCCCTCCCCCGCAGCCCGCATGAAGTCACAGCTGATGTCACCGGGGCTGGCGGGTCCTGCAGCATCACCGTGTGCAGGAG